TAGTCTCCGGTCAGCAAAGATGACGGTATTCAGTCGAGTTTGGTTCATAATATGGACAATGCAGAACTTGAGTTGCTCTCACTCTTTCTGTTCTCTTTTTGATGAACAGCTTAAAGGCGTGACAGAAAAATTGGGATATTTGTTGGGGTCAAATATGTATGAATAAATATGCGATAATAGACTTTTGAGTGAAGAAAAAAGGAAAAGAAACATGCAAAAATGCACTAAAAAGACATTCTTTCTTCTTGGACGATAGAAAATACTACTGGGATGCAAATTCGCCTGAGAGATACTGGGCACCGAGGCAAGGGAGCAGCAGATGTATGCAGACAAATAGCATAGCAGGAAGCGAGACGACAGATATCGCAACGATGGGCGTGAATGGTCACAGAGTGTTTATCCGCTCCGCCACTGTCCTCTCCCATGCTTTTGAAGTCCAGTAATGTTGCTTTTTTCTGAGAGCACGAACCGCCATTCTGGAATGAAAGTTTTCAATGATTTCATTGCTGTCAAGCACCTTCAATAGCATAAACACAATGTGACATAAATTTTCAAACTAGCAAGGAATAAAGTGACCTGAATAGTGCGTCTGTGGGCATCGCCCACACTTTGCGGCTCCTTTAGGAGCATAGGATCCAGGGCTACAAGGAGTACATTCGGCGGCACCACCATCCGACGACGTTCCAGGAGGGCACAAGGAGCACTCTCGCGTGAATGCCAGTCCTGAAGCGGAAAAAGTGTATGGGGATTCTAAACTGAAAAAAGTAGAAGGACTTGCCAAGGACGTCGATTCTTGAGATTCGTATTGGCTCTGATGGTGCCTTCGCTCCAGCGCTGTTCGTCACCGTCCAGCTAACCACATTAGCACCTTAGGCATTCGTAGGGTTCTTCGTATGTAAGGTAGGAAGGGCTAATCCTGCTTATGAATTTACCTGTTCGCAAATCGACCGTCCGCTTCTGCCAGTCGCCGTTTGCCTGCATCTCGGGAGCTTGTGCTAACCGGCGTACTTTGAAAGCATGGATTGCATTGCCTCCCTGAAACACTTGCACATAGTAGTGACGATGAAGTGTCTTTGAGCGCGTGATCTTTTTTTTCCTCTTGATCAGAGACACTGCCGTGTTTAAAAGTCAAAAAGACCAAAAACCTGATGCCTGAGATTCGAATTGGCTCTGATGGTGCTTTGCTCCGGCGCTTTGCCATCGCATTAAATAAAATACGGGGGAAATATTTACCTTCCCTAGAACACGGGGAAATAATTTCACCCTCTCTGAAAATCAAAATGACGGATTGCCACTTGAACCAGTGTAGGTCTACTGCGCGCTAGGATAGGATTTTTAAATAGTGACAGAATGGACCGTAGCTTCAAAGTACCCTCTTTTAGGATTTAATTCAATGTACACTCCATAGAATTTGAGGCAACGTTCAGTTGACGTAAGTAAACCAGCCCTTTTGGCGCTTCGGCTGGGACCGTATGCTGAATATTGAGGAGTGGTGGGTCCTCGACCGTGGGAACGCGCACTTCAACAATCGTCCTTAGAAGAACCGCCCCCCATTTGGTGCTTCCCCTTTCTTATCAGCTTAAGCCTTAAAGAGAGGACGGGTCCATGTCCCCTCTCCAAGGCTTAGTCCTGGGGTGAGCAAACCAGCCCTTCTGGCGGAGCTGCTGGACCAGCTGCACCACTTGCGTCAGTACTCTCCTATCGTACCAACCGAGTTGAAGTAAACCGTCGACCGTTGGGGACCCCATCCCCTCCCCAACATTCAGCATACGGTCCCAGCCGAAACGCCAAAAGGGCTGGTTTGCTTACCTCCGTTCGGTTCTTTGGAGTTATGTTTTTCTTTGTAAAATTTCAAATGTATGAGGTGAGCGTAAAAGCGGCATATATTTTGCTACTGCTCCTCTTCGCACCTTCAAGTATTTATTATTGAAAGTGTTGAGCCAACCAAGGGTCTTGTGACATCTAATCCTTTTGCTCCTCTGCGTCTCCTTCACAAGGCCAGACACCAGACACTAAGGCCCAAACTTTTGCCACAGGTTAAGTGGCTCACACACCCCCCCCCTGAATTGGCCCCATTCCCCCTGGCTCACGCATTCTTACTTACTACCAGGTTCCCGCCACACCAAAAGGATTAGATGTCATACAACCGCCAACCAAGGCGCGAGCTCCTGATGATATAGCGGCTGATAGATGATATAGCGGGAAATGCCTGAAGGGGGTGGAGGGGAGTGTAGTGTATAAACTTCAGGATGAGCTGAGCAGCACAGTGCAGCCCACTACGACGGCTGCGCGCCCTCCCCCTCCACTTCTGCATCCTACATTTTTATTTTCCTCTATCGGGTATAGTTCGTGCAAAATAAATATGTATTGAACTCCCATGTCGAACATTCTATTCGAATTGCTTCACTGAGGTCCCGTTGTAGGACTCGTGAGAGCTCTACAAGTAAAGTATAAAGTATCCGAAAGTGATCAAGCCTTTCTAGATGGGATTTGGGGTGCGCCACGAAGTCGACTTCCGTTAAGGTTAGCCATTCGAATTCCATTATTTGGCATGTTTGGGGTCAGTGACCTGAGAGTAAGGTTCACAAACACTTCCGGCTGGGGGAGAGGTTCTATGCTTAACTTTATTTACCTGTAACTCTGGCACTGCTGGTTCCGAACGTCAACGTGCAAAGAAAGCGCTCGATTGTTTTTTGGCATACGATACGAGAACTCGACGAATCCTGGTCGGACGAGTTTTGCGGAGAATGACAAACGAGAGATGCACGGCGATGGAATATACAGTAATTCTGCATCGCGAACTATCCAACCAGTCCTGAAACACTCAAAAATCAACGAAAGCTTAATAGGCTTACAATTTTGAAAAGACTTATAGGTGAATTCAGGAGATCATCGTACTTCTTTATACTCAAGACACATTTGTATCCAGAAAACAGTTTTCTCGAGAGCCCAATGCAACAAACAACTTAACGCGCTGATATGGGTGTGGGGCGTGAGATAGTTCCGAGGTCACAATATCAATACTTGTAAACCGCATGCTGCTGTGTAGTCACCCTGCGGTGCGGTGCATATCCTGGACGCGATGTGATCTATGTAGTTGTAGTTATGTACATAGTTCGAGCGGGCCACTCATATATAATAGCGTGGATCTGCGGAGAGGCACTCAGTACGCTTCAATGTGGCCCACGACAAGTACATCACACTTGCCCCTTGTTGTACTATTCTATAGAGGAAATAGCTGCCACCTTGCAGACCCTTTTCACCGAATCTTCTTGCGATTGTCGTGCAAGCAGCAGTTCAGGTATCCGATTTCGCCCGGGATCAGGGGTCGTATCCCTATCTGATCGTAGCTTCTGCTCTGAGTGTTGATTAGACAAGAGTGCCCTTCCGCAACTCCACTTCGATGATATTACCAGTGGCCCCTCCAACTACATGTTCACCCGATCTGGTAACCTCGGCACCACCAGTGATTCACACAACGTCAACTTCATTTCTGTTATAACAGTAGTCAACGACTCTGAATATCAACAAAGACTGCGAGCCGTTCCACTAAACAGAAACTAAGCCCGTATGCCTAACCTTCAGAGTTCAGAACTTCAAAGTTAGCTGACCATTCAGGTAACCCTGAATGGTCAGTTAACTCTGAAGCTGCCCAAGTTGTTAGAGAATCTCTGAAGTCTGAAATCTTCCGATACTTTTCCATCTACGAGAAAATCTGCGCGAGAAATTCCGAAGTTGGTCCTGAGATGTCGTCGTGTCTGGAGTCGGAAGAATGAAGGACAATATCCCCAGTTATTTCGTATTCTTTCGATTCCTGCGCATTTGTTATGAACGGACGATGGCCAAATTGCAACTAATAGTGCACTGAAGTTTTGTCTCGACGTGGTTGCGGTCTACTTTACCGGAAGGGATCGCGAGATTTCTTGAAAACTGATCACGCTGTGTGCGTGCCTTCCAAATCGTGTTGCCCTCAAGAATCGCATGAAAAGAAGTATGCAAGCACTCTTCATCTACGAATTTTCACCAAATTTTCAAGTTGTGCGGATATGGGGTTGATTGGATTGGACAGCGCCCTTCGGCACGCTCCTCCTTTCGCCGCACTTTCTAAATCTTTTGCATCAAATTCAACTACGCAGATAGAGACGATTTCGCTAGCATACCACGTGCCCAATTCAGGATGATCGTCCGTTGAACCAAGTTCGAGAAAAGACCGCCTTCATGATCATTGGGAGAGGGAAGAAAGTCTCCTCGGTAGGAGTCATGTCGCATTTCCAGGGTAGAAAATTTTTGGGAAAAGGAGGAAATTATAAAGCAGAAGAGGGGTTCTGAGACGCGGAAACACTGGATGCAACGATTTTAACCGCGTTGGACACCTCCTCTTTTTATAAGCGAGATAACCTTAGGAGGGGAAACTCCAGGATACATGAGCAACCTTCGTTTCATCTGAGGTGCAACCCCGTTCTGGGCCTAATTTTAGTAAACGCCCCGTATTTTGCGGTAGCGCACAAAAAAAATTTGGCAATTTTTACTTCAACAGTTCGCTCTCCGTGTGGACGAACCTTTTGAATGATGGCAATGTGTCAGGTGGGACCATGTTCGAACTGAATAAAGGCTTCCATGGAGGGTCTACGGGAGGTGGTACTGGTCCCAAAATGCGCGCGCGTACATATTCACGATGTTTGACCCTGCGTCGAAGAAGCAGTCTTCGATCGAATATTTCTACACATTTATTCACGAAGGCACCGCAACGCTTAAGCGCCCAAAAACGCTTTCACTATGCATACTTGCGAAGTTTGCAAGTTCACCCATTTTTCGCACTCGCGCTTCTCCTGTCGTCATGCGCTCAAAATGCCCTTTAGTGTGTTTTCATGTGATCGAATTCTTCATTCCCAGGAAAACAAACAGTTGAAGATTTACAGATGCTTCAGCCGTGAAAAAAAGCTTGCGAACTTCAAGAAAGAACTGAGAAAAGTATATTCAAACTGAATGAGCTCATCTGAAAATGGAAGAACACATCTCATAGTGTCAAAAAAACTTTGTAGTGCTCTTCCACAGCGACGCATCTTTCGTTTCCCATGGGAACGAAGCGCGGTCCGAACTCAGCGAGGTCCTCGACAGATCGTAGACCATTATGGCCTTACCTGAAACGCTGGTCGAAAGCAGTTCCGTCCACTCAGAGCTTTTGCCTCTGGGAAGCTTTCGACCACTCAACCGTTTGAAGAAATTATGTAGCAGGTTCAGGTTGAAGCAATTACCGTAGGCTTCTGAGCTAAATGGCGACGGCAGATGGCGTAATATTTTGAAGACGGTAAGGGCAGTTAGGAAGGCCTGCTTCTGCTCATGGCAGAAACCTAAGGAACATTTTGCCGTAAAACTTCCATCAATGGTGGCACATGTGTGAAGAGAAGTTTGCTGATGGTTCCATGGCAAAAGACTTTGACTTTGTCTTTTTGTATATTCACTACTTCGAACGTAAATTATTTATATGTATACGAAGTAAAATAACTCACATTGCGTAGCCATAGACGAGGTACGAATAAATGTGGTCACGTAAACGCAAACTGGTTCTCTTTTAAGAAATACTGTATTCAGGGAACTCACTCAGGTGGACATGGTTCCATCCTTGCTGGTGTCGACTCATCAAACTGAACCGAGTTTGCGTCAAAATTCTCGACAGAGAATCCGGGCGGAAGGGTATAAAACTCCTCGAACCGAGAACCACCTCCAAGACTGTACTGTCCTGAAAAATTCCTGTTACAGATGATCCATTTTAGTAGATGATGCTCCCAATCACTGCTACGCATGAATTCGTCGATGCCTTCAGCTTGAGGGATAAAAGGTCAGGAGAGCTATTACTATTACACGGTATTTCATCATTATGAGCCTTTCGGAAAAAATTACGCACGTGAAAAACGTTAAAATTTTATTTCTTCTTTACAACCACTGGAAAAAGCTTTTCCATAAAGGGGTGAAGCCGAACATTTTATAATGACAAAGAAAGTCCGAAATGGTTGCAATCAGGTCCAATTCAGACAGACATCAATTTGTTCGTTCGGCACAGTAGTGCATCGACGGTTGTCAGCGTCCTCATTATTCCAATTTTGATCGGACCTTCTTCAAAATTCACCCAGCTTCTTTCTACGTTTTTTACGTTCCATTTCTCAGCTGCTTTTTTATAAAACTCCAACTTGCCATCGATGATTAGTTGCGCTTTGAAGCCACCCTAAATTTTTGGGTACTTACTGAACATTTAGTATGCATGCATCTCAATAGGAAGATATTATTCACTTGGGTTTACATATAGCCATCTAACCATCAGAACGAGAAAGAAAAAAGAAAGTGTCAGTCTTCTCCTCTCTTGTTGACTGCATTTGTTACTAAGTACAAGTCGACAACAAGCAGAGTGCGCAGCACTCAAGCGTGGTGAAAAGTCGATCCACTGCATGTTTCGAACGCGTCTGAATACCAGCTCTACTGTGGCACTACGATAGCCTCTCACTATCCAGAACACGACGATTGTATGTATTCTACACCTCATGCTGTAGCACTAGCAAAATAAAAGGATAAAGGATAAAGCATTTGCCGTTGATCAATCCCTTGGGATGCGGCACGCATTCTACTTCCATTTGTACATTCGTGGCGTTTGAATGCGATGTGGCCTATACAATGACTTGCGGGGGCCAGCCGATGTACAAGTCAGTGTTTTTATCCTCCCAGACAAGTCTGGTACCAATTAACCGACCCCGGAGGGATGGAAGGCTTGGTTGGCCCGGGCGACTCACGACCCAGGATTTGATCCCCGGACCGCTCGCGTGGTGAGCGCGCCACTTGTCACTACACCACTTCCGCCCACTTGCAAAATAGCTTGACAAAGTGGGCTAACTATACAGGTCATACGAGTGGAGTACTCCTGAACGTGGAGTGTTTGAAAAAAAAGTTAGGCCTGCAGTTAAGAAGCATACGTCTATTGTCCTCAATATTATGAAGCGTGGCGTACACTCACGATGCGATACCTCAGATCGGAGTAAAATACGTATGTTGTGTGATGCGGTGTGAGGAAAACTTTGAGCACTAGGAACCCCTCCCTCCCATTGAAGCTTTTTCTAGTAACAAGAGTCCGATACTCTTTGGAACGCATTGCCTGACACTTTGGAACAGTTTGATCTGCGTAAATTGAATACACGTTTTAAAAACTATAACTTCCTTTAAAGAGGGAGAAATTTTAATCTGAAGGAAAATTCGATGTTTCTCGCTGAGTACGCTCTAAGTGATCAAAATCCGAGGGAAATTGCGAGAAACTACGATTTTAGCGTAAATAACGGGAGAGATTCTCAAGAAGCGCAAGTTTTCACACTTTCAGTAGCCATACTTCCTTCATATGCGATTTTCGGAAAAGTCCATTCCAAGCCGCTGTAGAAGAAGCCTTGCTTCATTCAATGGGTTTTCAAACTATTCGCCACGGTCAATAGTTCAAAAATGGACCGTTTGACGATTTCTGTCTGAGTACCGCGGACTTCTCCTTCCTTGTACTGTCACCCTTTCAACCACAGCTTCTTTTATAGATAGTATTGTACAAGAAGGGAGCATAAAGATTCGAGACCTTTGGCTTTCTGAAAGTATAAAAATGTACCGCAAGGTATCTACTTTTAATGGTTCTATCTTTACGAAGTCAATCCTGAAAATTGCCTCTTGAGTGATGGTTTCTTTCCTGTCGTTGGCATTCTGATAACCTCTTGAAGTCTCTCACCACATCGTCCTTGCAGGGACTGGGAATTGAAGCACATGACATGGGTCGAACTCGCTCAGGGACGCGCGGTGCACTCGACATACAGCGCCAGTCGCGGTTCCCATCCGCTCTACAAGCTACCTCTGCTCTGATCAATGCTTATCCCGACACTGTCAATCCTCCTAACTCCCGCTGGACCTAGTACCCCCCCCCCCCATCCCTCATCAGATACTTCAACGCACGATTGACCCTGTATGGAATATCGCATGCTATTTTGACGGATATCATGGTTCGTCATGGTCCTGAAGTATTCTCTACGAGCAGTAATTGGTCCCCTTTCCCAACCAGTCAAGTGATGCCTACAAAACTCGTCGTAAAAAATCAAAAAGGTAAGCATAGGACGTCCTTTGCTTGAAACAACAATTCCAGATCGAATTCATGGCTCACCAGTGGTCGATAATGAAATCGTGGATGACGAGTTGATTACAAATGAACAAAAGCAAGGGAAATTACCAGTATAGCTTCAAACAAAAAGTTTCCCTCCTACGAACTCGAATTAAGGGGAGGGTGGAGCCGGACGAGCCGTGCGGAACAGCGCGCTCCAATCGCTGGCTCATGTCAGCAAGAAATGCGCTGCAGTCGCAATACACCAACAAACAAAGAAATACTATAATTACATGACATTGACATCAATTGAAACGCGGAAGAGATGACCGCTAACGCGTAACGACCGATCTCTCGCTAGCAAGTGGGCGGAAAATGGAAAAGGCGGAGCAATGGCGTTGGCACATGTCCAAGTCCCTTATAGCGGCTTTCCAAGATGAGTTTTTTCTTCAGCGGCACTTCTTATGTTCTTGACTAGGGCTCACGCATCTTTTTCACACCATTATTAACAGCAAAAATATGGATCCCGCTGGGACTGTTCCTTAACCCTTTGACGACCGCCGTTGGAGGTAAGCAACCAGCCCTTTCGGCG